CCGCTGTGCGGTTACTCACTCTGCTACCTTCTGCCGGAGACACAGCAGCTCATACCGTGAGGCTGAGGAGGGAGCACCAGGCACTCTGCACGGTGGTCCTGAGAGCCAAACCCCTTCCCCGCCAACGCTGCCACTGGCCCTGGCTTCCTCGCCTGCCCTCTCCCACACCTGACGCCTCTTGAGTGCGAATATCCTGCGTGTTTGTTTGCAGCTGTGCTTGTGGCTCCAGCGGCTAACTAAGCAAATATTTATCAAGGGGTTGAACGGGCCACTGGCAAATTCAAACAATGGAGATCTCACTTTAGGCCCTTCTGACTTGCAAGCCCACCACCCTCTCCTGCACACCCTTCCTAGAAGCACTACTCCCCAAGCTGAGATGAGCTACACTCTTGCTCCCTGCCCAGCAGATGGTGGTGCTTGGCCTGGGGGAAAGGGGGGAATCTAGGGTCTATTAAACCATCCTGGGCCCCCACCTCCAGGAAGCCTCCCCTGGCTGCTCCTGTCCTCACCCACACCCTGTCCTCTGAGCTTCCACCGCCCAGAGTCTGAGCCCCACACACCTGTTCTTATTCACACCCAGGTTATAGCTCATTGGTGATCTCCCCAACATCTCTGGGGGGGTTCTCCAGGGACAGGAAATGGGCCCCTTATTGTTATTCTTGCCCCCTCTCCTCCCCACAGTGTAGAGGATCCCGGGCTGTCCATAGCAGGAGGGAAGCTTCTTCCTTCCCCTTAGGAAATTCCTTTCAGGACCCGAGTAGAATCTGGCAGGAAGAGGCTGCAGTGGATGATGGGAAACCCTGCTTTCCCGAAACAAAACCAGGGGCCCAGGGAAACCTGTTTCTGCTCTGAACCCTGCATAGACTAGGGCCTCATCCCCGGAGCGGATTCAGCCCAGCCAGGGTCCTTGGCCAGCTCATTCTGCCACCTGGTGGCTAAGTAGGGCATTGCTCATCTCAACTCCCCCACTGCCTGCAGTCCAATGTCCCTTCTGGAGTCATCAGAATCATCTAATGACTGACTCCTTACCGCACAAAGGGGGTGCTGATTCTCCAAAGTGGGGAGAGATTGCCAGTAAAGGGATCAGTCCAGAAACTCTCACTGTAGCCTCAGTCCAGGGATCCCCATGGTGGAAGAGACTAGAAAGTGCAGGAATTTGCGGCTCCAGTCGAACCAGAAAGAAACAAGGAGCCAACCCCAAGCCATGGGTAAAGCTTCTAGAGAAGGGACAGTCACATGAGTGAACTCCCACCACTGCCACCACCACCAACTCACTGCTAACACTGACCGCTAACTTCCCATTAACACTAACCCCTATTGACTGCTAACTAACACTAACCCCTGACAGCCAACTAACCACAAATACTAACCCTTGACTGCTAACTTCCCACTAACACTAACCCCTACTGACTGTTAACTAACGCTAACCCTTGACAGCTAACTACCACAAATACTAACCCCTGATTGCTAACTAACACTAATCCCAGGCTAACTATCCACTAACACTAACCCCTACTGACTGCTAACATGAGTATCAGTAGCAGTTAAACTCTGAGAGACCACTCTATCAGGCAGACAAAGACATTAATGATACTAGCGATGTAGAAACTAGCTTTCTTACTTGGCTTATACAACAATTAGAGGCCTGTTGGATTAAATTTGGGCACAGAAGGAGGGGGTCCCCCAGCCCCGCCTGCACCCTCTCCAATCTGGGACCCCTCCGACATCCCTCTTGCAATCTGGGACTGCTGGCTCCTAACTCCTCAGCTGCCTGCCTGCCTGCCTTATCAGCCCTAACTGCCCTCCCCTGCCAGCCTGACTACCCCTAACTGCTCTCCTCAGCTGGCCTGATCACCCCTAATGACTCCCCCCTGCCGGCCTGATTGCTCTAACCACCTCTACCTCGTCCCCTGCCATTGTGTCTTTGTCCGGAAAGAAGGCTGGATGACTGGAAGATGTCTGGTCAACCGGGTCTAATTAGCATATTACCCTTTTATTAATAGATACTTGGGCCAACTTTTCCTGGAGGAAATTTGCAACCTGGAATTAAAAGACTTGCTATGTGAATGACATTCGCTCAAACGTTTATACTTTTTTGAGATGTGCATGAAGAATTGTATGCAAGAAAATTTATCACAACTTTTATTTAAAAAAATTGGGAGCACCCTCCAGTAATAGATTGGTTGCATAATGATTGGCTAAATAAAGAATATTAGACTTCGGGGGGGGGGGGAGACGGGACATATGTAATACTTCAAAACAATAAAGAATTTAAATTAAAATTCTGCTGCAACCACCCATTTGCTCTTTTTAATAATTTCATTGAGACATAATCCACATGTCATAAATTTCATCCACTTAACGTATCCAATTCAGTGGTTTTCAGTACATTCACCGCAATGGGCAACCATCACCACCACCTAATTGTAGGCCGCTCCATCACCCCTAAAAGAAACTCACAGCCTTCAGCAATCAGTCCCCACTGTCCTTCCTCCCACCCCTGAAAACTTAACTACTGTCTATCTCCATAGATTTGCCTATTCTGGACATTGCACATAAATAGAATCACACACCGTGTGGCCCTTTGTGACTACCTTCTCTCACTGGCATACTGTTTTCAGGCTTCGTCCCTATTGTATTTTGTATCGGTGTTTCTTTTTTTTTTTAACTATAATATTCCATTGTGTTAATGTGCCTCATTTTGTTTACCGATTCACCAAGTGATGGACATCTGGCAAATATGAGTAATGCCGCTATGAATACCCATGTTTGTACATAGACATGTGGCTTCAGTTCTCCTGCCTACACGCCTAGGAGTGGGTCGGCCGGGTCCTATGGCAACTCATTGTTGGACTCTTGGAAGAACTGCCAGACTTTTCACCTAAGCACCGGCACCATGTGACCCTCCTGCCAGCAATATCCACGTTCCAATTCCCCACATCCTCATGAACACTTGTTTTTGCAAATTTTTTTTTCTTCATTTTAGCCATCCATCCTCGTGGGTGTGAAATGGTATGTCATTGTGGTTTTCTTTTGCATTTTCCCAGTGACTAAAGATACTGAGCATCTTTTCATGGGCTCATTGGCCATTTTTAAAAAGCATGTATTTTTATTGATTTCAGAGAGGAAGGGAGAGGGAGAGAGAGATAGAAACTTCAATAATGAGAGAGAATCACTGATTGGCTGCCTCCTGAATTCCCCCCACTGGGGACTGAGCCCACAGCATGGGCATGTGCCCTGACCAGGAATCGAACCGTGGCCTCCTGGTTCATAGGACAATGCTCAACCACTGAGCTACACTGTCTGGGCTCATTGGCCATTTTTAAATTGTGTCTGTTGCCTTGGCCAGTTTGGTTCAGTGATCAGAGTGTCAGCCCAAGGATTGAAGAGTCGAAGGTTCGATTCCTGGTCAAGGGCATGTACCTCAGTTGCAGGCTCCATCCCTGGTGCTGGTGAGGGCCTGTACAGGAAGCAACCAATTGATGTGTCTCTCTCACATTGACAACATTTTTCCTCTCTCTCTCTTTCTCTCTCTCTCTCTCTTCCTCACCCCCCTCTCTCTTGCCTCCACTCTAAAAAATCAATAGAAAAAAAATACCCTCAGATAAAGATTTAAAAAAAAATGTGTATCTTAATCTTAAGCATAAGAAACAAGATACAAATGTATAAATATAATATGACCTCAGGATGTTTTGAAAATGTATAGAAAACCTTTTTTCAGAAAACACAAAAAATATCCATGGTGACTCCTTTGGTAATGAGGTTATGGCTGGTTTTTATTTTCTTTTTTAATCCCTTTCCTAGCTCCCAACACTATGCACTGAGTCTGAATTACTTCCATGACCTGAGACTGAGGGAAGGAATGCATGGTAGGGCGTCAGACGGGGGCTGCACCTTGACCTTGGTGTGACCCTGGCTTTCTGTGGCCGCATCTCCTTTCTCTGGAAGCCCCGAGACTAAAGCAGAGGGTGTCCTGCAGAGGAGGGTGGCGGGAAGGCTCCCTGGCGGCCGGGGAAGGGCCGAGTCTGAGGGCCCATCTGCTCTGGGTGACCAAGACAGGGAGAGGTTTCTCTCTGGTCCGCAGTGCCCGCTCCTGCCTGATCTCTGTCCCGAAATCTCCCTCCACCGCCACCAGCTGACAAAACCCCACAGACAGCGCCCAGGACTCCTTTTCCTCCCTCCTGCCACGGACTAGGGTGGGGGAGGGATGGGCCGTGACAATGCGTGACAGCAGGCTGGGGGCACAGGAAGGCGACCTGGACTGGAGGAAGCGTCACCCTCGAGGAAAACCTTCCCCGGGAACCCAGGCATCCCCAGAAGAACAGCCCAAAAGGCTAACGGGCACAAGGAGAGATGCTCACTCTCTAGTCATCGGAGAAATGCAAATTCAAACCACGGAGATCTCACTTCACGCCCATCTGACTTGCAAACGTTAGAAAGCTGGGTCCCGCCAAGCGCTCCGCGCTGCTGGTGGGAGCCCAGACTCCGCAGGCGCCCTGCAGCGCCATCTGTCACTGCCGTCACTCTCAGAGGAGCCCTCACTGACGGCCGGGGCACGGCTGCTCCCAGGTCCCTGGGCGTTCACCTGGAGGGAGGGGGCGACACCGCGTGGCACCGGACAGCTGCCAAAACACGGGACCAGATGTGCCCACGGCACCCCTGGGGGGAGAGGTCTCTTAAAACCCAGGGCGGCGGGGAGAGGCATTGACGCCAGACGTCAGGCACATAGCCGACCGCGGGTGTGTGAGCTAAAAGGACAGACACACAAAACGCTCCCTGTTTCGCAAGAGCACTCAGAAACACAAACGTTCGCATAAACACGTGGGGATGTTTGCCCGCAGAAGGAGGGAAGGGGAGCGGAGCGGGAAAGCAGGGCGAGTCCGTGTCCCAGGGGATTGAACAAGGCGGTCCCTGCAGACAGGCCACGGGGGTGCGTGGCGTGGACCGAGGAGCGGTGCACGCGCTTCCAGACTCAGGCATTCACGCACACGGGTCTATGCATCACACGTTTATTGGCTCCTCCGGCCTCGACGGACAGCTCGGGCGCTGGGAGGAGGCCCATGAGAAGAACAGAGACAGAGGAACCCGGGGCACCAGAGTCAGACACACAGGGACCCGGGGGAAAGAGCCAGGGCTGGGCAGCAGCGGGGGTGGGGCTGTGAACTTGGGGCTCCCAGGAGGTCCCACTCCTTCGGGACGTGCTGGACCCGCAGTAGCTGCCCAAGGTCAGGTGCAGCCTGCAAGCACGTGACGTGGGCCAGCCTAGCACACAGATGTCACCGCCTTGGTCCTCGGGCGGAAAGCCACTGTCCACTGGGCATGGGTCCTCCGGGCTGGCAGGAGCTCGGGGTTGTGGCCGTGCCATCGTCGTGAGAGCTCGGTCCTCACCTCCAGGGACAAGGGGGAACGTGAGAAAGCTCCCACCGCCGCTCCTCGACTCCACCCCAGGGGCCTGCGAGTGCGGGAGAGGCCACGCAGGAGAGACAGGCAGGCTCCCGACGGGAGAAGCCACAGTTGGCACAGCCACGGCTAAGTACTGCCCCTGACGGGCACTCCTTCCTCCTTCCTGGATGTATTTCTGGCCATGCCCTTTAGCTCCTGTCTCTACTTTTAGCACTGCCTTTGTCCGGGCCCGGATAAAGACACTGATGGGTGCTTTCTCGAGTTTCTGGCCAGGTAACTACTCTGTCCTCCCTGAATAGCTTGGACCCATGGTCGGCAAACTTATCAGTCCACAGAGCCAAATATCAACAGTATGACGATAGAAATTTCTTTTGAGAGCCTAATTTTTTTTTTAACTTAAACTTCTTCTAACGCCACTTCTTCGAAACAGACTCGCCCAGGCCGTGGTATTTTGTGGAAGAGCCACACTCAAGGGGCTAGACCATCCCCCGTGCTGGGGTTCAGCCCGCCATTGCCCACGGAGCTGAGCTGTGGCCCCTGGGAAACCTGCCCAGAGAACATGGCCTCAAGGGAGAGGTGGCCCCTCCCGCCGCCTGAGGACCTGCTGTGCAGAGACTGACAGTCACGGAAAGCTAAGTGGCCTGGGAGGGGAGGGGAGGGGAGGGGAGGGAGGCGGGTAGGGAAAGGTCTGCATCCTCACTTCTCATGGGGCTGTTGGGGCAGAGGGAACTGAGGCTGCGGTGAGGGCCAAAGGGCCACAGATTTCTGTTCAACATCAAGGTGAGCTGTCCGGCCCCAGAAAGGGCTATTCAGAGGGAGCAAGCTCCCCGTCACCAGAAGTATGTAACCATCTGGTTCTCACCACCGCTTCCTGGGAATCGGTGGAATCCCCTTTACAAGTGTCTGTGGAATCCTCCTTCCACAAGCCCCGCTGGCTCAGCCAGAGCCGTTCCTCTCCCTGTAGCCCCAGCCCATCGCCAGGGTCTGGAGTGTGAGCAGAGAGGATCAGAGGAGAGGGGGCCAGTCAGACACAGGGGTTGCAGTGAGGGGAGGGCAGTGCCCCACAGCGGGGGGAGGGGGTTGTGAGGATGGAGGGGGGTGTTGGAGGGGTAAAGGGGGGGTTGTCAGGCACATGCACCCAGGTCTCCAGCAGAAAGCAGAGCCCACTACAAACGCATGGCCACTAGAGGGAGCCCCCAGCTTTGCCTGTGACCACAGGGCCGGGCCTGGCCATCTGGAGCCCTGAGTTCAATCCTCCCACCTCTCCCCACAGAGCCGGTCTGTCCTAAGGAAACTGTGCCAGGTGTCTTCTGCTGGGGTGTTTCGTTGGCTCCTCTGCCATCTCTCCGTGTGTCTACGTGGCAGAGACACCATCTATTTCGTCTGTGCTGTGCGTATCCACCTCTGTCTCGGCTGTTCTCTCCCCATGCCCCTGGCTCTGCTCTCCATCATCCCACCTGTTTCTGCATCCTTTTCTTTTTCCCTAGGTCCCTGTATGTCTACCTCTGACTGTCTTGGTTCCTGCGTCTCTTTTCTCTTCCTCCTCTCTGGATCTGGCTTATTCCCTCTCCCACTCTCCTTTTATTCGGTTTTTAGGAACACAGGGCCCACCCCTGATCCCTCTTCTGATCCTAAAAGGCCTGCCCTGCCCCCTGCTGGATGGCGAGTAAAGGTGGCCCAGCCAGGAAGAGGGATGGGTAAACGATGTTAATGGGAAGCATTCAGGTTCAGCTGGATCCAGCTCAGGACAGATTCCTACCCAGGATCACAGGAGTCAAGGTTTGGCCTGAGCCGGGATGGGCAGGGTCTGAGCAGGAGGCAGGAGTCTTAGGACGGTGGCAGGGAAGTATCGATGAGAACAGCCCGGAAAGTCACCTACCTCTTGGTTGAGGAAGCAATACAGGACGGCCACAATGAAGCCCTGTGGGGCCAAAGAGAAAGGACCCGTCAGAATACCTCTGCCTGGCCTCAAGGTGTTTGTGGTCTTTCTACTCCCTTCCCCTCCCAGGCAGTGGTGTGAGCCGGGTCTTTGAGGAAAAGGGAAGGCAGTTGCGTCACTTACTATGTGCCAGGCCATAGCCTCATGTAATCGTTCTAGCAAGCCTGCCGATTCTGTACTGTTGTCTAATTTCTCAGACTTTCTTATCTGTGCATCCCCTAGTATTGAGCGCAGAGCCTGGCATCTGATGTGTGCTGAGCGAGTACTGAATAGATTGGATGGATGGATGGATGGATGGATGGATGGATGGATAAATGGATGGATGGATGGATGGATGGATGATGGATAAATGATGGATGGATGGATGAATGGATGGAAATTGGATGGAATGGATAAAGGGATAATGGATATATGGATGGATGAATGAAATGGATGGATGGATAAATGGATGGATGGATAAATGGTAGATAAATGGTAGATAAATGGTGGGTAGATAGGTACAGGGGTGGCTGAATGAATAGGGAGATGGACAGATAGAAAAGTGGGCAGATACTGGTAGTTAAATAAATAGATGAGTGGCTGGAAGGAAGAACAGCCAGCTTCGCTGCCCTGGCAGCAGCCTCTTCCTCGCACCAAGGAGGCAGAGTGCCCGTGGGGCCTCACCTGAAAGGAGCCCAGCCCCAGCTCCAGCGGGAGGCGGAGGCCCAGGCCAGCGCTGTCCGGCAGGAAGTTGAAGATGATGTAGTGAATTCCAAACAGTGGGATGAGGAGAAGGGTGGACTTAGAGAGACGCCTGCAGGAGAGGACAAGCCTCAGGCTCCCGAGGCTAGAATTCCAAACTTCCACCTGCCCCCGCCCACTCTCTCTTCTCTTCCCCTCCCCCCCAGCTCCGCATATCAACACTACACCTTGGGGAACACCATGCCCCCTGCATGCACCCTGGACCTCCTTGCTTTGGGCCCCTGGATCCTGCCACTCCCTGTGCCAAATGCTCCTCTCCATTTATTCCAGCCAAAGTCCAAGCATCTTTCAAAGTCCAGCTCGAAGACCACTTCCTCCAGGAAGTCTTCCCTGACCACCCACAACCCCCTCTAGAAAGGATCTCCTTCTGCAGGCTCTTGGAGACATTGATCCCAGCACTCATCAGCCTATCTGGCCTGGAGACTGGCTGTTTGGAGCCTCTGTCCTCCCCACCCTACGATCTCCTGGGAGGCAGGGGCCAGAGCTAGTCTGTCTCGGGGCCCATGGGGAGGAGCACAGGCCAGGTCCGCGAATGGCTCATTGCGGGTAAAACAGAACCACCCTGACTCATGCCCCAGGTATGCCCGGGGATCCCCCATTACGTGCGTGCACGTTACCAGTACTGAGACGGGGCGTGGAGGCTGCCCTGAGCTGGCTCCAGCTTCCTCAGCAGGATGCGAATAATATTGAGGAAAAGCCCAAAGTTCATCTGGAAGCAGAGGTGCGGGAAGGTGGAAGGCGAAGGTCAGGGGTGGCCCCGGGGACCCGGGGTGGAGTCTCTTTGGGGAACCAGAAACCCCGAGTCCTGGAGATGAGTGGCCAGATTACAGAGCTGTGCAGGAGGGCGGGTGCACAAGTCATTGCTCTGGAACGTGGAGCCTGAAGCCCGGGAGGTCCACGTGCCCACTTCTGAGGGAGGGGGCTCAGGGCCCCCCGTCTCCACCCTGGGCCAAGGTGGGAGGTCAGGCCTTGCCATCCTGCGTTCAGCTCCTCCAGGGGCTCCTCCGGCCAAAGCACCGGCCTTCACCTCGCACAGTTGCTGAGTCGGGGGGATGGGCACATTGGCCAAGGCCACACCAACCAGTCCTGGCTGCCCTAGTTCCTCTTGGGAGCAGGTGGGAGGTGTCAGCCGCAGCGGTGCCCCCCTGCCCACCCCACCTCTCACTGCAGATGTAGATGCAACCAGGCACCAGCCCCGTCCCGAGTCTGAGCCAGAAGGGGCCTGAGTGCTGACCGAGATCACCCCCTGGTTTTCCCAGTGGGACTGGGTCCAGAGAGGGCCTCACAGCTGGAGTCCTATTTCCCACTATGTAGGGCCCCTCGGTGGACCGGGGGAGGGGTTGCTGGCTAAAGCAAGAGGACATTGGCCCCAGAAACCAACCCCAACAGAGAGGACGATGGGCCCTTTGATGATCCACCAGTAAGGGGAGCTGTCGTTCAGGTCCCAGCACCTGTGGAGAGGATAGGCCAGGGCTGAGGCTGGTGGCCTTTGCCATGGTAACCCATGCGCCTCCCTCCTCCCCACCCTCTGCCTGCTGGCCTCCTGGCTTCCGGTTCTGGCTCTGGGGCCTCCCGGCCCTCCGTCCCCACCACAGACTATCTTGTTTCTCAGAGTTGGGCCCCTTTCAGAGGGGCGCCCCAATCCATGCCAGGCTCACCCACTGTCTCCACCTAGAAGGATAAACTCCTGGAAAGTCAGTCTGTTTGCTAACTTCTTGCTGCTGCCAGCACTTCCTGTTCCAGGAGGCCCCCACGTACACCCACCCCTACCCTCAGATCTCCCTGAACTCCAAACCCTAAGAATCTGAGGCCCCTTCCCCCTCAGGCTCCCATCCCTTTGGTGCTACCACATTGCCAAGCCTGGGAGATCCTGAGGCTGGGCGGGGCCCTCCTCCTCCCCCACGCTGCCTGAGAGTCCAGCCCACGCCCCCCGGGGACTTGGCACAGGGGTGACAAGGAGGTCCCCCAGACTCACGCAGTGTCCTCGAAGGCCAGCTTGCAGCCCACCCACGTGCCAGTGAAGAGCAGGGGCAGCCCTGTGGGGCGCAGAGGGAGGGTCTGCATCTCGGCCTGGAGACCTGCCCCCGCCTCCCACCACCAGGGCCCACACCACACAGGGTACAATGGAGGCGGGACCGGGGCAGAGCCCAGGGGCCTTTTCCCAGCAATCTCTCCAGCGCTCCTGAGTGGCTGCTGGGAATCCCCACCTTCCACCTCACCCACCAGCTCTGGGGACCCACCCACCCCAGCCGGCGAGCACCAGCCGCCAGAAGGCCCTCTTGGTGCTGGGCGATGTGGAGGCCAGGAGGCAGGTCAGGTAGACGGCTTCCGCCGACAGCCAGCTGAAGTTGGTCATGGTGGCGAAGTGGGAGCCGGCCACCGAGGCCTTGCACAGAGCCTGCGGGCCGGAGCACCCATGGGAGCCCGCCCACAGCTCCCTCCCCACCCCAGGGCCCCTCCCCCTGGCTGCCCCAAAGGGGATGCGGGGCTGGCACGTGGTGGCTGAGGGCACAGACGTGGGACCCGACCGCCTGGGCTCACATTGACCCCCTACTAGCCGGTCACCTCCCCAGGCCTTGGCCTTGCGTTTGTCAAAGGAAAACGTCCAGCAGCTCTCTCGTGGCCGCATGGGACCGGGTGGAAACTAGATATGACTGCCGCTACCTTCACTCTCTTGAGCCCCGTCAGTCCCCAGAGCTGTCGGCTGGGAACTCCATGTATTCATGCACGGCTCTGTCCTTCAAACATGGGCACATGCGCCCACACCTCCATCCCGGCCTCCGACCCTGCAGGACCCCTCAGCTGCCAGGGCAAGCACCACCTCTGAGCTCAGGTGGCCAGGCTTGGCCCCAGTCCCACCACTGAGCAGCCAAAGGCATTGCCAATTGTCACCCACAAAAGAACCAAAATGGAAATGAGTGCGGGAAAGGTGACGATACATGCAAAGCACTCAGTGTAAATCCCAGCACAGAAGCGCTCCACGTACACCATCATTATCATTTCTCCCATTGACGCCGGTCATCACTGGTTCGCTCGTTCGCTTATCCATCCATTTCCAGCACCATCTTCCGGCGCCTTCTAAGGGCTGGGCCTGCACGCTCCCCCCAACTGCCTTTGCTTTCCGTCTCCCCGCACTCTCCCACCTCCCCTCCCCCATGATGACCTCCCTGCTTCTTGAACATACAGGTTCTCCTGTGTGTGCGATGCTCTCCCTGGTCCTCCCAGGTCACAGGTCCTCCCTCCCCTCCCCCGTCACTGCTGCCCACCCAGCTCCAAGCCGTCCCTCCCTGAGGTCCTCCCTCGCTCTCCCCCAGCTCTCAGCTCCCTCCAGTCGGTGCCCCCATAACCTGGTCCATTCTGTGCCCTCGGAGGGAGGCACCCACTCAGCCCAGGCCCTCACCATGGACGGACGGATGGATGGATACTCAGGGGCAGGGTGAAATGAAACGGCTGGCGGAGTGGCATGGTCTAGGGTGGGGTATGAGTGGAGAGCGGACCATGGAAATAGCATGGACGGGCACCCTGGTCCGGGAAAGGGCACGAGGCTTTGGGGTGGGGAGGTGGGGCGGTTCCTGTTCCCTAGTGGGCAAGGCCCAGCCCAGCTTAGCCAGCGGGCCTGGGCAGGCTCCTAGCCGCCCGCCGCCCGCCCGGCGCCCCATCCACCAGCCCGGCGCCCCACTGCGGTGGTTACGGTGGAGACACTGCAGTGGTCCGTGTCCTCGCCATGGAAGAGGGCGGCGTCCCTCAGGAACACGGCGCCCGCCTTGAGGATGAAGGTGGCGAACAGCTGGGTGTGGATGTAGTTCCGCGGGCAGCGGAGCCTCCTGCAGGGGCGGAGGGGTGAGCAGCAGATGGCGATGGGAGAGGGCAGCAGGGCAGGCGGGAGGAGGCTGAGCAGGGCGGAGGAGGGGAGGGAGGAGCCCAGTGGGCTTGGCTGGATTGCATGCCATTGGGCTGGGCTGACCTTGAGTGTTAGCCGGGCAGGACAGCTGACTAACCCCCGGCCGGGGCTCAGGGAAGGTGAGGGGACAGGCACCCCCAGTCCCTGCCTTCAGGGAGCTCATAGTCTGGGGACAGGGGCGCAAGTGGCAGGATCCTGCCCAGGGGAGCCCCCGGGAACTATGGAGAACAGCACAGGCCAGGTCATGGGGCTCAGACCCTAAAGCCTGATTCGGGAGGAGGGGAGGTGGAACTTAAAAAGGTCCGTGGTCAAAGGGTTGAAACAATCAAGAAGGGGTGCAGGAGGAGGCAGGGAAGATTGCTAAGAGAGGGAGGGAGCTGGGCTTTGCTGTAAACACACGGGGGAGAAAGGAGGCAGGCTTCTACATTCACAGCAAGTACAACCCGCTCCCCGTGAGCAAAGCTGAGCGCTGGGAGGGCATGCCGGGAGCGGTCTGCGCGTGGGGAAAGGAGGGAGAGTTAGACATCCACGTGACCAGGCGCAGAGCCAGGCTCCGTGGACAACGGGGAGGCAGCCCAGGTCTCCGAGCAGGTGACGACGCAGAGGGCGAACCTGAGGGCCACCAGGATGGCGATGGCCAGCAGGAGGGCCGCGGTGGAGACGCTGTGGCCCAGGGTGTAGATGACCTTCACCGTGGAGAAGTACGATTCCTGGGGAGAGCAGAGACGGAGAGAGGCAGACACTGTGTCTGTGGGGGAGGGGAGCTCCCGTCTGGGGCCAGGGGTGTCCGTGGGGCCCCAGCAAGCTCCCCGTGGACTAACGGCGCGCGTCCTCTGCCTGACCCTCTGCGGGTGACAGCGGGCGGGGCAGGGATGCTCTCTGCTCTCGGGCTGGGTCCGCGGCTGCAGAAACTCCGCATTCCTGGGCATCGAGGACGCCCAGGAGGGCCTTGGCTTGTTTATGGACATCCCGCTTGCTTGTCGGCTCGGGAACACCATGTCCTCAATCACAGGGAAAAACTCACTCCCGACTGAGTGTGTTGTCCACGTCCAGCGTAGACCCCGGGGACAGAGACAGGGGTGCAGGCAGAGGATGGAGCCAGGGCTCGGCCCCTTGGGAGGAAGAGGGGGGCAGGCGATCACGGCCCCTCTGACTCAGCCTTTTCACCAGAGAAATGGTCAGACGCATGCTTTCCCCTGCAGGGCTGAGGGCAGGCCTGTGGGGTGACGGGCGTGGAAGCACCTCAAAAAGCCTTGCCCCGCCGAAACCGGTGTGGCTCAGTGGATAGAGCGTCGGCCTGTGGACTGAAGGGTCCCAGGTTCGATTCCGGTCAAGGGCATGTACCTTGGCTGCAAGCACATCCCCAGTGGGGGGTGTGCGGGAGACAGCTGATGGATGTTTCTCTCTCATCGATGTTTCTAGCTCTCTATCCCTCTCCCTTCCTCTCTGTAAAAAAAAAAAAAAAAAAAAAAAAAAAAAAAAAAAATTCAATAAAAAAATATTATAAAACAAAAAGACTTGCTCCATTCAGAGGTGTGGGCGTGTCAACTGCCATAGAGGGCGTGGTTTCCCTCTTACCCACACCACAGCCCTCAGCGCGCTGCCCACAGCTGAGGACCAGACGGGGCAGGAGCTGTTCCAGGACTGTGACCGGAATCACCAGAGCCCCCTGCCCTGGGGGCCTGGGCACAGGGAGGGTGGCCAAGGAGGGGGTGGCCAGCACATCTCCTGCCTGTCCTCCGTGTCTCCCCCCTCCTACAACGTGGCCCGCCTGCCACCCTTGGGCAGTGTCTGCAAACTACCTGGCTTGCAGACACTGCCTCCTTCTGGACACCTGCTGTAACTGCCATCCCAGCCCGCTGGCTGCAATGGAAAGGCAGTCCCTCCAGGCACAGGGTCCGGCACCCACACAGGCATCCATGGCCATCTTTCCTGCAAGAGGCTTCTTACCTCCTCTGTGGGCAGCTCGAGGGGCACGGGGCAGGCCACCGGGTATGGCGGGAAGGGCTCGGACCAGCCGGTGATGGTGCAATCGCGCTGCACGGCGCCTGGGGGTGGGCAGACGAGGGGGTGGGGAACAGAGGCCTGGTCACACCTTCTCCCGGGAGGGATGGGGCACCTCGGCCACCGAATGACCCTGGAGGCGGCAGTGAGAGGTCCTGCCCGGGACACACCCGGGCCTTCCTCTCTGGCCTGGAGTCACCACGGGTCAGATGGAGTGTCATTCCCTCGGGAGGCAGAGTCCTGAGCTGTGTGCCCAGGGCCCTAAGGGCAGGGGGAGAAGGAGGGACTGGCCCCCCGGACACCCAGGCCAGGGAGTGGAGGCAGAGTAGTGAGGGCCCCCACCCCATTAGGCAGGCTCTGCCCACTGCACCCCACAGCCAGCCCCCCTGCTCACATGCAGGGAATGATTCGATTGGTGCCAGGCCCTGGTCTAGCACCTCCAGTGCTCCGCTCAGGAGCCCTCACCCCTGCGAGGTCACAGGCCAGGAAGCTGGAGGGGGGGGAGGTAAGCAGCCTGACTTGCCCAAGGTCACACTCAGGAAGAGGAAGCTATTGAAAGGCAGGTCTGCCAGCCCTCACCAGGGAGTGTCTGCCACATTCCTCTGGCATCAGCAGAGGAAAACACTGACCCCAGTCCCCCCCCCCCCCCCCCCCCGCAGCCCCTCACCTGGCTCTGAGCTGAAGTGAGAGAAGAAGGCCGGGCAGGGCAGGGTCACCCACTCGCCAGAGCCCGCCTTGGGCCAGCACAGCAGCCCGTCCCAGGTCACGGGGCAGCCTAGAGGGGTGGGCAGCGTGGATCAGCCCAGGGACAGCCCGCAACACCCTGAGCGTGAGGCTGGGGGCGACAGAGAAATCAAAGAAGCCACCCCCACCCCCCTCCAGCCCGTACCCCGTACCCCAGGTGGCGTTGGACTCCCCCTCTGCTGCCTGCAGACACGCACTCTCATCCTCTCTCAGCTGGGCAATGAGGTCACACTCGGGGTGCACATGGCCCAGCACCTGCAGGAAGGAGTCAGTGGGGTGGGCCGAGCTCATGGGGTGCCCTTCTGGGAAGGGAAGGGAAGGGAAGGGAAGGGAAGGGAAGGGAAGGGAAGGGAAGGGAAGGGAAGGGAAGGGAAGGGAAGGGAAAGGAAGGGAAGGGAAAAGAAGGGAAGGAGGGAGCATGGGGGTCAGGAGTTCTCCAAGCCATGGTGCCGCCTGCTTGGTGGGGAGAGACTCCCGCCCTGGGAAGGGCAGTGGGGACCTCCTGGGCTCCAGCTCACACCCCTGTGCCCCCGAGGCTCTGGAGCGCAGCCAGAGGCAGGAGGGGCTGGCTGGCTACTCACGACTGGAAATGGGCTCAGCAAGCAGAGGGTGCCAGCCCCCCAGGCCTTGCTGTCCATGCTGGGAGCTCGTAGGGTCCCCTCCACCAGCCTCTGAGCCTGGCCCTGGCCCCTCCCCTCCCGGTGGCCGACTGCACAGGAGCAGCCGCAGAGGGGACAGCCAGCTGAATATTCAGCGGGACTGCAGGACGCCGTGCCCAGCTCCGCCGGCTGGCATGGGACTCCGTGTCCCCAGCTGGGAGGGGCTGAGCCCTGCCACTCCGCCTGTAGGTCCCCTCGGCGTCTGTCCTGACAGCAAGGGCCCGGGAGGTGACAACAGGCTTCATCTTGCCCCAGAAAGTGGATATTCTTTGCGACCCTGCTGGACCATTCTGGGGAGAGTCCTCACCCCTCCCCATCCCCCATGAGGGAGGCTCAGAGAAGTCAGGGAGCTCCTAGCCTCAGCCAGGCCTGGAGGGTGGGCTCAGGGCTGCAGGACCCAGGAGGGTCAGGGCAAGGAGTCATTGGGTCTGGATGGAGAGTGGTGGTGGTGGGGGAGGTAGTGATCACGCCCCTGCATAAGCTGGCAGGACGTCATTTCACAAGGGTGCCAGCCTGTGTGGCGAGGGGAAGCCCATGGGCAGCCAGGCCCTGGGCTTGAGGATGGAGAGCCAATGCAGAGGGGAGTCCAGGGCCCCTCGGGGCAACAGGGCACGGGGCTTGCACAGCCTTCAGGTACTGGCCATGCGGAACGGGGCAAGACTGTTAGCAACAGAAACGGAGGACGTCCACAGCCCTCAGCCATTCTTCACACCTGGCACCTGATGGCTCTGATCTGTTCAGACCTCAAAGCGGGGAAGCCCCGTGGCCATGCTGAAGGCAGGGCTCCGAATGGCCCTGGTGCGCGTGGCATTTGGAATCTGAACGCATTTTCCCCGGGTCCCGTGGTCCCGGCGTGGGAGGTGCTGACAGTGGTGTTCCCGGAGCTGGCCAGCTGGACGCCCGTGACCCCAGACGTGTTTACAGCTGTAGCGAATCATGAATGATGGAGGTCCCTCGCCCGCCACGTCTGGTCTGAGGGATGGTTTGCATCAAAGGGGTTTTATGTTTCTTTTCCATCTGTCTTCGTCGGCAACAAGGTGTTGAGGGAAGTATATTAAAAAGAAAACACGAGCCCCCCAGAGCCCCCGAGCCCCCACCTTCACACGAACATTCACATGTGCTTCCCCGTGAACAAGGCTCAGGGGGGCGCCAGGCACGGGTCCAGGTCCCTGCAGAGAGGGCCTCTGCCACAGACGGGGTTGGGGTGGCGGGGGACTCACAGGCGGGGAGGGCAGAGCCCTGAGAAGGTGACTCAGGGAAAGCTAAAACCTCTGTCCTTCAGCTACAAAGAGGCAAGAGCCCAAGGACAAATGTTACCAGTAATACCTATTGATCGTTAGTGTCTGTGTCGTTAGCATTAATGATGATTAGTAATTGATATTGATACTTAATAAGCATTATAATTATCTGAATCAGTGGTACTTAACAGGGAACAATTTATCCCCCAGGGACTATTCCTTGATATTTGACCGTTTTCTTGATCACAGCCCAGGGTCAAGGTCAAGGGTAAGTGGGAGGGAGAAGCGGGAAGGTGCTCCTGACTGGAAAGGACAGGAAGGAGGGATGCAGGTGAGCATCCTACCATGGACAGGATGGGCCTCGCACGGTAGCAGGAGTTATCTGGTTCCCAGAGACAGTGGGATTCAGGTTGAGAGCCGTTCCTGCTTTCAAAGGAGCCCCAAGCCCATGACCCTGCTGAACAGGCCGGGTCACTGAATTCCCATCTTATCTCTGAATCTCCTCACAGTTCAAATTCTGCCCCCACCACTTGCTCACTGGGTGACCTTGGGCACATTATTTCACCTTTCTGAGACTCAGTTTCCCCACCTGGAAAATGGGACGATACCTTGCGAGTAGGGTTGATTGGATGAGTAGTCAAGGAAAGGCATATGAAGTACCTCGTACAAAGCCTGGCCCAAGGGGATAGTCATTAACGGCAGCACGGAAAAGGATGAACTCTCAGCAAATGAGGTTAGAACAATGAGGCTTTGTAAGGACAAAACAAGGTTAAGTCTCTAGCTCATATTTGCAAAATATAAATTCTAGATGTTTTAAAGGCCTAACCATAAAGCAACAAAATAAGATTGTCTTCCCAATGATGGAAATTTGTTTTTATGACTGTAGAAGAAGGAAGACCTTTCTAAATAAAAAATGAAAATTATAGATTAATAAGTTTGACCACATCAACATTTTATTTTTAAAAAATGTATACTCAAGAATGGACAAATAGGTAAGACTACAAGCAAGCCACAGACTGAAAGAATATTTGAGACCAATAACGACAAAGAGATAATATTAAAAATATTTTTAAAATGCATACAAATCAATAATAAAGAGAAAAATAACCCAATAGAAAGTGAGCAAAGGTTATAAACAGACAATTAAAAAAAAAAAGAAAACAGTAAAATGCAAGACCAATAAACAGAAAGAGATGCTCAACATTAGCAATATGCAACAAAAAAATAATTGAAGTAATAATGACTACCCTTTTCACCTACCATACTGCATAAAACTGTCATGTCTGATAATGTGATATTTGGAAATAATGTGGGGAAATGGCACTTCTCTGCTGTGCAGATCGGAGTGAACACTGATTGATAGACCCACTTTGCAAAGCACCGTGATATGATCTATTGAATCGATAATTGAACATGTCCTACACCCCAGAAGTTCCACTGTTGGGTCTTCGCTCCAGAGGGCAGCATTGTTTATAATACATAGAAGAAAAGAAAAAAGAAAAAGAAAAAAAAAAACAAAACAGAAAACAACACAAAAGTCCAACAGCAAAGGAATAGCTAAGTAAGATGTAATATATTCCCACAAATGAGACCTTGTAGGACATTAAAAGGGTGAACTAAATCTAGTTATATCAACATGGAGAGAGTTCAAAATAACACATTTGAAGAGCTTCTGCTTCCTGCCAAGACAGCGTAACTGGGACTGATTTACCCTCCTCCTGCTGTAACAACAAGCGATCCAAACAAAACACACAAAATATTGACTTTAATAGTTGAAGAAAAAGAGCACATATGAGCATCTCAATTGATGCAGAAAGCGCATTTGACGTGTAACACCCTTTCAAGGTAAAAACATTCAATATGCTGAGAATAGAGTGAGCCTCCCTGACATGAGAGAGGCCATATATGAACTTCCACAGCACATCACATCCCATGATGAATGACCGAAAGCTTTTCCCTCAGCTGAGGAACAAAGAAGGATGTTTCGTTTCTCCACTTCTAGTCAACATAGTACTAGAAGTTCTAGCCAGAATAATTGGGCAAGAACAAGAAATAAAAATACCCAAGTTGGAGAAAAATTTCTCACAAGTCAGGAATTGTGAGATAATATTGCTAAGATGACAGTACTTCCCAATCTGATATATAGGTTCAATGCGCAATCCTTATAGAAATTCGAAAGGCATTTCTTTCAGAATAGAAAAACCCATACTAAAATTCACATGGAATTTCAAGGGACGCTGAAAAGTAAAAAAAAAAAAAAAAAAAAAAAAAAAAAAAAAAGGGGCGGGGGGGACAAAGTGAGAAGCCTCATACTTCCTGATTTCAAAACTTACTACAAAGCTACAGAACTCAAAGCAGTAAGGTCCTGGCAGAAAGATGAAAACCAATAGAATCAAGAACCCAAAATAAACCCTTGTCAATACGGTCAACTGACTTTTTTGACAAGGCTACCAGGATCATTCAATGGGGGAAAGAATAGTCTTTTCAACAAACGGAGCTGGACACTCTGGAGACCATGTGCAAAAATGACGTTGGACCCTCCCTTACCTTATACCAAACAACAAAATTAACTCGAAATGGATATAGACCTACATTCAAGAGCTACGACTCAAATTCTTAGTGGAAACACACAGGGAAATCTCCGTTACTTTAGATTTCACAATGGCACCCAAAGCACGGGAAACAAAGAAAAAGAGATAAATCGGATGCTATAAAAATTAAAAACGTTTGTGCAGGCAAAGACACTATCAAGAGAGACAAAAGACAACCCATGGAATGGGGGAAGTGCTTGTCAATCCTACATCTGACAAAGAATTAGGATTCAGAACATGTAAAGAGCTCTTACAACTCAACAATAGCAACAAAATAAGCCAGCCAGTTTAAAAATGGGCAAAAGACTTGAACGTACGTTTCTCCCAAAATGACAAACACATGAGAAGAAGCCCAGTGCCATTGGTCATTTGGGAAATATACATCAAAACCTCCGCGAGATACCTCACCCCCGTCAGGACGACTTTCTTGTTTTAAAAGAAAATAGCACGTGTCCATGAGGATGGGGAGAAACCGGAGCCTTCATGCAAGCTGGTGGGATGTAAAATGGCACAGCTGCCGTGGGCGCCAGTTTGGCAAAAGGTTCAACATAGAATTGCCATTCATCTCAGCAATTTCACCCCTGGGTACATACAAGAGGATGGAGAGCAGGAACTCCGGCAGTGCTGGTACCGACGCAAAGTTTATAGCGACATTATTCACAAAGGTCAAAAGGCGGGCCATCAGCAGGCGCCTGGATAAGCAAAATGTGGTGTATACCTGCCATAGAGTGTTACTCAGCCATAGACAGGAATGACGCTGACACATGTCGTAACGTGGGCGAACCTTGGACATATTATGCTGAGTAAAATAAGCTATGACACAAAAAAGACAGGATGGCGTGATTCTACTTATATATGAGGTATTGAGAGTCATCGAAGTCACAGACACAGAAAGTGGAACAGAGGTTACCACGGCCTGGAGCGATGGGGGGAGAGGCATTGTTACTTCATGGGTGTGAGCTTCTGGGAAATGAAAAGTCCTGGGAAAACAGTGGGTAGTGATGATGGTCACATGACCTTGTGAATGTACTGAAGGTCACTGAGTTGTATACTTAAAATGTTTTAAGTGGTAATTTTATTATATATATATATATATATATATATATATATATATATATATATACACACACACACACACACACACACACACACACAGTTTTTAAGGGGAAAAATAATCGATTACTTAAGGC